TTTCAATCGCCCGGATTTCGAGCGGGACTTGATCGCGAGGCCCCCAGCCTAAGCCGTCTCGAGCTGTTCTGAAGCTACCTACGGGGACGTTTTAAGCTGTAAAGTGGTAAACTTTACCAAATGAAGCTGTGTTTGAAGCTGTGGGTTCCCCACGAAAAGGTCGTCAAGGCCCTCAAGCAAAAATTTGGAAAAACCACTTTACATCTTGTTGACGTCTTGACATGTCATGGCCTTTTTTAGGGGCAAAATGAGCAATTGGGCCCTCATTTTTTTGAGTTTTTAACCGATTTTAGAAATTCCACGCGGATAGAATCCTTGCAACTAACCCATATGTGAACCCCAACATCGTTTTTGAGGCAGAATTCAAGGTTAAGCAGGTTTGCCGCCGGCAGGACTCTTCGAAAACGTCAATTTGAGTGGTAAACCCACTGTGAAACCAGTGGTTCGAACTCGGTCGATACCTAACCTTATCGTGGGCCGTTTTCACGGGTAAAATAAAATTTGAGTTGCTTGTGCTACAAATTTTACCTGGGCGTTTGCGCCCTCTGCGTATGCATGCTTCCCGGGAGATTTCATCAGTCGGTGAACCGGTCATTATTCTGAACGACCGGAACAGGGGACCGGTTCCAACCAAGAATCCCATGCTAGTTCATGCGCTAGCTGTAAAAATTCCAGTGCTTGCAGTCTCAATAGTCATTTGCGTAGACGAATTTGGCAAAGAACTTCTAAGAAGGTGGACTTTGGAGGCGCCTGTTCAGGAGACCATTCGCTTGTTTGTACGGCAGGTCTTTGGAAAAGGGGATTGGTTGGAGGCCTTCCAGTGCAATTATTGGAATTTTGCAGGGCGCTCTTGGAGACAGTTAGTTTGGTGCACATCAAGTTATTTGAGCACTGGTTGCGACCATGCAGCGGCCGCCGGGCCCCCCGTTCTCGGGGGTTCCACAGAATGCCCTTCAGCAGCAGCTCCGGCAGCAGGCCCTAGCCCAGCAGGAAGCCGCGCTGCAACAGCAGCTCATGCGCCAGGCGCAGGCCCAGGGACGCCCGCACCAGATGCCACCCCCACCGCCGCAGCACTTTGCGCCACCGCCGCAGCCGGGGGGAGCATTGCCTGCGCCGGAGGCGGGCGTGAGCGGAGCTGGGGCGGGGAAGGTGGATGAGGCGAAGCTGGAGGAGAAGGCGCGCAAGTGGCAGCAGCTGAATCAGAAGCGGTATGGGGAGAAGCGCAAGTTTGGGTACGTGGACACGCAGAAGGAGGACATGCCCCCGGAGCATGTGCGCAAGATCATCCGGGACCACGGGGACATGACGAACCGCAAGTTCCGGCGGGACAAGCGCGTGTATCTGGGGGCGCTCAAGTTTGTGCCACACGCCGTGCTGAAGCTGCTGGAGAACATGCCGATGCCGTGGGAGCAGGTGCGGCACTGCAAGGTGCTGTACCACATCACAGGGGCCATCACGTTCGTGAATGAGGTTCCGTGGGTTGTGGAGCCCATCTACCTGGCGCAGTGGGGCACCATGTGGATCATGATGCGGCGCGAGAAGCGCGACCGGCGGCACTTCAAGCGCATGCGCTTCCCTCCGTTCGATGACGAGGAGCCACCTCTGGACTATGCGGACAACCTGCTGGACGTGGATCCGCTGGAGCCGATCCAGTTGGAGCTGGACGAGGAGGAGGACAGCGCCGTGTACGACTGGTTCTACGACAGCAAGCCGCTGGTCAACACCAAGCTCATCAACGGGCCCAGCTACCGGCGCTGGCAGCTCTCCCTGCCAATTATGGCCACCCTGTACAGGTGAGGCGCCAGAGCAATGCTTGCTGCAAGTGGCAATTTCTCAGGGATGGAGAGGGGGTAGGAAAACAGGATGCGGTGTGTTAGGGTTTCCTCTTCGTGCTTTTTGAACGTAGATGCTGCTGGTAATGGTGAATTTTTGCTGGGGCTTCTGATGGATTCGTGCCTTCTGTGTGCATTTGGCTGGCCATCTCGTTGACTTGTCGGCAATTGTGCAATTTAACATTTCGTTTAGCCACCTAGTCCCCTGTGATTTTGCCAACAGGCAACTTCAGTATCATTTCAACGGTTGCAGCCTTTCAAGAGGGAATCGATTGGGAATGAGGTTCTGAAGTGAAGCGTTTTGATGCAATTGTCCTGTTTGGGGGCACTCCGTGGTTGGGATTGACACTTACTTTACGGCAGCAAGGGTCACCAGGCCCTCCTGTAGAAGGCTGATGCAGATACCCCGGCAGACGCATGACCATAAGGGCTTCTTTGGAGCAGGCTGGCGGGCCAGCTCCTGAGCGACCTGACGGACCAGAACTACTTCTACCTCTTTGACCTCAAGTCCTTCTACACGGCCAAGGCACTCAACATGTGCATCCCTGGGGGGCCCAAGTTTGAGCCGCTGTACCGCGACATGGACAAGGGCGACGAGGACTGGAACGAGTTCAATGACATCAACAAGCTCATCATCCGCTCCCCCATCCGCACCGAGTACAAGATCGCCTTCCCGTACCTGTACAATAACCGGCCGCGCAAGGTCGCTCTGTCCACGTACCACACCCCCATGGTCACGTACATCAAGGCGGAGGACCCCGACCTCCCCGCCTTCTACTTTGACCCCCTCATCCACCCCATACCCTTCTACAAAACCGATCGGAAGCAGCAGAAAGACGTGGCCGGGGAGGAAGACGAGGAGGAAGACGGGTTTGCACTGCCGGAGGGGGTGGAGCCGCTGCTTGAGGAGACCCCCCTGTACACCGACACCACGACGGCCGGGATTGCGCTGCTGTGGGCCCCGCGGCCGTTCAACCTGCGGTCGGGGCGCACGCGGCGCGCGGAGGATGTGCCGCTGGTGGCGGGATGGTACCGCGAGCACTGCCCGCCCAACTACCCGGTGAAGGTGCGCGTGAGCTACCAGAAGCTGCTCAAGCTGTACGTGCAGAACAGCCTCAACCGGCGGCCCCCCAAGGCGCACAAGAAGAAGTACCTCTTCAAGGCGCTTAAGAACACCAAGTTCTTCCAGTCCACCGAGCTTGACTGGGTGGAGGCCGGCCTCCAGGTACGCACCACAGCATGGCGGTAATTCCTCTGTGATTGTTTTCAGAGGCTTTGCTGAATCTTTTTTCGCATCTTTCTGTATCGCAATGCTAAAGCATCGTCCATGTCTTTCGCTTGATCCTGACTTCTCCTTCGGTTTGGTTTTAGAATCACCATGAAGAGGCAAGCTTTCTATAGGCGCTCCAGGTTGCTGCAGGTGATTTTGTTGCCCAGGTTTGAGTTTCGTAGTTGAAGAAGAAAGGGTTTTAAGCTCCATGCATCTAAAGAGCAAACCGCAAAAGTCTCTGTTTTCAAGCTTTTCAGGAGCTTTCTGTTTAAGGTACCCTCTTTCCAAGAATTTGATTCTGATCAGAGCTGCCAAGGTGCTGCGTCCTTCAAGTCATTGTCAGTGTCTTTGATTGCTTGGGGGCTGTTATAGGGGCCTAGGCCCTGCCTGCTTTCTGCCTCAAGCGCTCTCAAATCGTGGATACAGGTTGTCCTTGTGAAGTGCATAAAGGCAAGCGCTCGCTGAGGGCCCCATGTCGTTGCTGACCCTTGTGCAATAAGAGCAGAGTCTGGTTGTTGGCGAGCAGGCTTGGACTAGGTCGTGATGGTGTTGTGTTCCATGCGCAGGTGTGCAAGCAGGGGTACAACATGCTGAACTTGCTGATCCACCGCAAGAACCTCAACTACCTGCACCTCGACTACAACTTCAACCTCAAGCCCGTCAAGACGCTGACCACCAAGGAGCGGAAGAAGTCGCGCTTCGGCAACGCGTTCCACCTGTGCCGCGAGATCCTGCGGCTGACCAAGCTGGTGGTGGACAGCAACGTGCAGTTCCGGCTGGGCAACGTGGACGCGTTCCAGCTGGCGGACGGGCTGCAGTATGCGTTCAGCCACGTGGGGCAGCTCACGGGGATGTACCGCTACAAGTACCGCCTCATGCGCCAGATCCGCATGTGCAAGGACCTGAAGCACCTCATCTACTACCGCTTCAACACGGGGCCCGTCGGAAAGGGCCCCGGCTGCGGTGTGTGGGCGCCCATGTGGCGCGTGTGGCTCTTCTTCCTGCGCGGCATCGTGCCGCTGCTGGAGCGGTGGCTGGGAAACCTGCTGGCGCGCCAGTTCGAGGGGCGCGCCTCCAAGGGCGTGGCCAAGACGGTGACCAAGCAGCGCGTGGAGAGCCACTACGACCTGGAGCTGCGCGCGGCCGTGATGCACGACATCCTGGACATGATGCCCGAAGGGATCAAGCAGAACAAGGCGCGCACCATCCTGCAGCACCTCTCCGAGGCCTGGCGCTGCTGGAAGGCCAACATCCCCTGGAAGGTTAGCCCCGCACCCCGTCTTTTCGTATGCTCCAAGCGATTGGCAGCTGCAGGCGTTGCCTCGGCAATTGAGGTGTCCCCGCTTCAGGGTTCACTGATCAAGGGCTCACACCATCTTTCGAAAAGTGCTTCTCATGCTTGGACAGACAGCGAACTTGTCCCCCCTTTTCTGGACAAAGTGTAGGAGACAGTCACCGTGGTTTGCACGTCCGTGTGTAGGTATTCCAAACTGTTTGCTGTGCGCTTCATGAGGTTCTTTTGGAATAGGTAATTGTGTTGACGTTGTCAACCACGTCTTTGATACGTCATCCTGTGCGTTATTTGTTTTGTTTGCAAATTTACTTCTCGAGGCAGGTATCGTCTTTCAGGGCCTGTGTCATTTGTTTGCCACGCTGATTCGCACATCGACGTAGAAACTGCCGGAACAATGCCCTGACAATCTGAAATACCCTGATACTGCTGGGTCCACCCCCCCCTTGTCGTTGCTAAGTGAACCCCCGCCTTGACGCCGTCCGCCGCACTGTCTGCAGGTGCCCGGGCTGCCCGCCCCGATCGAGAACATGATCCTGCGGTACGTCAAGTCGAAGGCGGACTGGTGGACGAACGTGGCGCACTACAACCGCGAGCGCATCCGGCGCGGGGCCACGGTGGACAAGACGGTGTGCAAGAAGAACCTGGGGCGGCTCACGCGGCTGTGGCTCAAGGCGGAGCAGGAGCGGCAGCACAACTATCTCAAGGACGGGCCGTACGTCACGCCGGAGGAGGCCGTCGCCATCTACACTACCACGGTCCACTGGCTGGAGAGCCGCAAGTTCTCGCCCATCCCGTTCCCGCCGCTGAGCTACAAGCACGACACGAAGCTGCTCATCCTGGCGCTGGAGCGGCTCAAGGAGCCGTACAGCGTGAGCGTGCGGCTGAACCAGCAGCAGCGCGAGGAGCTGGGCCTGATCGAGCAGGCGTACGACAACCCGCACGAGGCGCTGAGCCGCATCAAGCGGCACCTGCTGACGCAGCGCGCGTTCAAGGAGGTGGGCATCGAGTTTATGGACCTGTACAGCCACCTCATCCCCGTCACGGAGGTGGAGCCGCTCGAGAAGATCACGGACGCGTACCTGGACCAGTACCTCTGGTACGAGGGCGACAAGCGCGGCCTGTTCCCCAACTGGGTGAAGCCCGCGGACAGCGAGCCGCCGCCGCTGCTGGTCTACAAGTGGTGCCAGGGCATCAACAACCTGGCCGACGTCTGGGACACGGGCGACGGCGAGTGCGTCGTCATGCTGCAGACGCGCTTCGAAAAGTTCTTCGAGAAGCTGGACCTCACCATGCTCAACCGCCTCCTGCGCCTCATCGTCGACCACAACCTCGCAGGTCAGCGTGCGCACCCTTGCTTGTTCTTCTTTTTTTCGGAGCTGTCTTCAAGAAGGCGGATTGGTTGGACCGTTTTTGAAATGGCTGTGTGCTACCATTCTCGATCTTAGTTCTAGTTGGTCATACTGCCTGTCTTTGCCATCGTGTGCGATCTCAAGGGTGCCACCTCAAGAAGACAGTTATGTGAGCTACACTCTGGACGGCTTGCCATTGGAGTTCTGGTTACGTCATGTGGCGGACTATAGATTGACAGCGTTTGAAGCTTTCTACATAAGTGTGAGTCAGCCTTTGCCCGCGGTGCGACTGCTGCATGTAGGCTATGCAGCAGGATTACTGATGTTGTGCTCTGGTGTTTGTGCAGACTACATGACGGCCAAGAACAACGTGATCCTGTCGTACAAGGACATGAGCCACACCAACAGCTACGGCCTGCTGCGCGGCCTGCAGTTTGCGTCGTTCCTGGTGCAGTACTACGGCCTGGTGCTGGACTTGCTCATCCTGGGCCTCACGCGCGCCAGCGAGATCGCGGGCCCGCCGCAGACGCCCAACGAGTTCCTCACCTTCCGCGATGTCAAGACGGAGGTGAAGCACCCGATCCGGCTGTACAGCCGCTACGTGGACCGGCTGCACATGCTGTTCCGGTTCAGCCACGAGGAGGCGCGCGACCTCATCCAGCGCTACCTCACGGAGCACCCCGACCCCAACAACGAGAACATCGTGGGGTACAACAACAAAAAGTGCTGGCCGCGCGACGCGCGCATGCGGCTGATGAAGCACGACGTGAACCTGGGGCGCGCCGTGTTCTGGGAGGTGCGCAACCGGCTGCCGCGCAGCCTGACGAGCCTAGAGTGGGACAACAGCTTCTGCAGCGTGTACAGCCGCGACAACCCGAACCTGCTCTTCTCCATGTCCGGCTTCGAGGTGCGCATCCTGCCCAAGGTGCGCATGGCCGCCGAGGGCTTCGCCTCCAAGGACGGCGTCTGGCAGCTGCAGAACGAGGCCACCAAGGAGCGCACCGCGCAGGCGTTCCTGCGCGTGGACGACGAGCACATGAAGGTGTTCGAGAACCGCGTGCGCCAGATCCTGATGTCCAGCGGCAGCACGACGTTCACCAAGATCGCCAACAAGTGGAACACGGCGCTCATCGGGCTGATGACCTACTTCCGCGAGGCGACGGTGCACACGGAGGAGCTGCTGGACCTGCTGGTCAAGTGCGAGAACAAGATCCAGACGCGCATCAAGATCGGGCTCAACTCCAAGATGCCCTCGCGCTTCCCGCCGTGCGTCTTCTACACGCCCAAGGAGATCGGCGGGCTGGGCATGCTGTCCATGGGCCACATCCTGATCCCCTCCAGCGACCGCCAGTACAGCAAGCAGACCGACATCGGGATCACGCACTTCCGCTCCGGCATGAGCCACGAGGAGGACCAGCTCATTCCCAACCTCTACCGGTACGGGGCAATCGCCGGTAGCCTTTACATGTAGTAAAGCGTGATTGGGTTGTAACTGATGTCCTTATCCTGACGGCTCATTTCAATTGGCCCATCGCCTGTCGTGGCGGCACATTACTCTACGGCTCCCATTCACTTAGGAATTGATTCGATACTCAGCGAGTGCTGTCTAATGATGCTTCTAAACCACTACTCCGCAGGTTTGGCCTCTTCGGTTGCCATTCTGGCCTATCAGGATTCCCGTGCGCTGCCTTGCTGACGCTTTGCTGGTATTCGTCATGTCGCAGGTACATCCAGCCGTGGGAGTCAGAGTTCATTGACAGCCAGCGCGTGTGGGCGGAGTACGCGCTCAAGCGGCAGGAGGCGCAGGCGCAGAACCGGCGGCTGACGCTGGAGGACCTGGAGGACTCGTGGGACCGCGGCATCCCGCGCATCAACACGCTCTTCCAGAAGGACCGCCACACGCTCGCCTACGACAAGGGCTGGCGCGTGCGCACCGACTTCAAGCAGTACCAGGCAAGCTCTCCTTCAGCAGCGGCAGTCCCTGCTTTTCGCACTTTTTGCGGTGGCTTTTCTCGTGCTTCTCAATGAGCACCTGTATTCGAGCTTCTAGGGGTTGCTTCTGTTGATGTGTTTCGCTGGTCGGCATTGGGTCGCTGCTTGAAGACATGCAGAGATTTACTGCCCAGTGCTTGCTCCTTTCGTCTCCGCACCTGCACTCTCTTGGCTTTCTCGCGACTTTGATTAGACTACGTTTCTTTCGATCCTGCCACCGTCCTTATATGTGATGCAAGCTGCCCCAGCGCTGCTGCTGACCGGCTCCCGTGTCCTGGTTGCCGCGTGCAGATCATGAAGCAGAACCCGTTCTGGTGGACCCACCAGCGGCACGACGGCAAGCTGTGGAACCTGAACAACTACCGCACGGACGTCATCCAGGCGCTGGGCGGCGTGGAGGGCATCCTGGAGCACACGCTGTTCAAGGGCACCTACTTCCCCACCTGGGAGGGCCTCTTCTGGGAGAAGGCCTCCGGCTTCGAGGAGAGCATGAAGTACAAGAAGCTGACCAACGCGCAGCGCTCGGGGCTCAACCAGATCCCCAACCGGCGCTTCACGCTCTGGTGGTCGCCCACGATCAACCGCGCGAACGTGTACGTCGGCTTCCAGGTGCAGCTGGACCTGACGGGCATCTTCATGCACGGCAAGATCCCCACGCTCAAGATCAGCCTCATCCAGATCTTCCGCGCGCATCTCTGGCAGAAGGTGCACGAGAGCGTCGTCATGGACATGTGAGCCCCGCTGCCCCGCCCTACCCCCCCGCTCTGCACGCTGCTACCCTCTCCTCCGGGCTCTGCTCAGTCAATATTTCAGTCTGGCTTTCCATTGCGGGTCTCTTCCTCGTGTTTTCATATCCTGCCGCCATTCCCCTTCGTTTGCGATCTTGCTACTGATGCCCCAATAAGCGTGCTGCTTCGAACCCCCGTGCATATTTGAGCGGCTCCGCTGAGCCTTGCGTGCGTTCTTCCCGTGCAGCTGCCAGGTGCTGGACCAGGAGCTGGACGCGCTGGAGATCGAGACGGTGCAGAAGGAGACGATCCACCCGCGCAAGAGCTACAAGATGAACAGTAGCTGCGCGGACGTGCTCCTGTTTGCGGCGTTCAAGTGGGCGATGAGCAAGCCGAGTCTGGTGGCGGACACCAAGGACGTGTTTGACCAGAAGGCGGGCAACAAGTACTGGGTGGACGTGCAGCTGCGCTGGGGCGACTACGACAGCCACGACATCGAGCGCTACACGCGCGCCAAGTTCCTGGACTACACCACGGACAACATGTCCATCTACCCCGCGCCCACCGGCGTCATGGTCGGCATCGACCTCGCCTACAACCTGCACTCCGCCTACGGCAACTGGTTCCCCGGGATCAAGCCCCTCATGGCTAAGGTACGAACCGCTGCACGCGGCATGCTTGCTGTTCAGCGAAATGCTTCATTTTGGGACACTTTGCTGCAGGAGGAGTTAGTGGGAGTCGTCTGCGCAGAGGACCGTGGTTGTCAGTGCTGCTACGTGTTGGCTGCACACGAAGGACCTGCCTTTTGAGTGGAAGCGGCTGTTTCGAATCGCTTCTGTTCTCTTGTTTTAGAGGCTTATCAAGCAGTTGGGTTCGACGTTCTAAGCAATCTCCTTGTTTCAAAGCAATCTTCTTGTTCCGAATGGTGTCTTTACTTCTGGAAATAGACCCGGTAATCAATACGGCTACTATCTTTTCTGTCGTTAAGAAGACATATCTGACCTTGTTCGTCTTCGATAAGCATTCCGCCTATTTCCCTGGCTGCTGTTCCTGATTGGCCCCGCCCTGAGTCACGTGTATTCCTGATGCACAGGCGATGGCGAAGATCATGAAGGCGAACCCCGCGCTTTATGTACTGCGCGAGCGCATCCGCAAGGGGCTGCAGCTGTACAGCAGCGAGCCGACGGAGCCGTACCTGAGCAGCCAGAACTACGGCGAGCTGTTCAGCAACCAGATCATCTGGTTCGTGGACGACACCAACGTGTACCGCGTCACCATCCACAAGACGTTCGAGGGCAACCTGACGACCAAGCCCATCAACGGCGCCATCTTCATCTTCAACCCGCGCACGGGCCAGCTCTTCCTCAAGATCATCCACACCTCCGTGTGGGCCGGCCAGAAGCGGCTGGGCCAGCTGGCCAAGTGGAAGACGGCGGAGGAGGTGGCCGCGCTGGTGCGCAGCCTGCCGGTGGAGGAGCAGCCGAAGCAGATCATCGTGACGCGCAAGGGCATGCTGGACCCGCTGGAGGTGCACCTGCTCGACTTCCCCAACATCGTCATCAAGGGCTCCGAGCTGCAGCTGCCCTTCCAGGCGTGCCTCAAGATCGAAAAGTTTGGCGACCTCATCCTCAAGGCCACCGAGCCGCAGATGGTGCTCTTCAACATCTACGACGACTGGCTGCGCACCATCAGCAGCTACACCGCCTTCTCGCGCCTCATCCTCATCCTGCGCTCCCTCCACGTCAACAACGAGAAGGCCAAGATGCTGCTCCGCCCCGACAAGACGGTCGTCACGGAGGCGCACCACATCTGGCCGTCCCTCAGCGATGAGCAGTGGATCAAGGTGGAGGTCGCGCTGCGGGACCTCATCCTGGCGGACTACGCCAAGAAGAACAACGTCAACACGAGCGCGCTCACGCAGTCCGAGATCCGCGACATCATCCTGGGGGCGGAGATCACGCCGCCCAGCCAGCAGCGGCAGCAGATCGCGGAGATCGAGAAGCAGGCCAAGGAGGCGAGCCAGCTGCAGGCGGTGACGACGCGCACGACCAACGTGCACGGCGACGAGCTGATCGTGACCACGACCAGCCCGTACGAGCAGGCGGCGCTGGTGTCCAAGACGGACTGGCGCGTGCGGGCCATCAGCAGCACCAACCTGCACCTGCGCGTCAACCACATCTACGTCAACAACGCGGACCTCAAGGAGACCGGCTTCACCTACGTCATGCCCAAGAACGTCCTCAAAAAGTTCATCTGCATCGCCGACCTCCGCACCCAGATCGCAGGGTAAGCGCTCCTGTGCCCTGCCTTGCGCCTTTCCTCATTACTTCGCCGACATCTGCTGGCCTCCCATTTGTGGTTGTAGGGACCCCCTTGGTCCATTCGTCTTTTCGTCCGGAGGAGAAGTTGAGCAGAGCAACGCAAAAAGAGCGGGCTGGATAGATAATGACGGTTTCGTTGCTCCAAATGATCTCCTTCTCGCTTTTTGACCGAGTACCCTTTTAAGTTGGTACGTATGCTCTTGCTCTATTTGTAAAGCACGTCTCAAACTCTCCTTTCTACTCCCGTTCGTGACCCCTTTTTTGCTGTTGCTCGCGCCAGGTACCTGTACGGGCTGTCCCCCCCCGACAACCCGGCCGTGAAGGAGATTCGCGCGGTGGTCCTCCCGCCGCAGGTGGGCAACCACCAGCAGGTGGTGCTCCCGGCGGGCCTGCCCGAGCATGAGTACCTGGCGGACCTGGAGCCGCTGGGCTGGATCCACACGCAGCCCAACGAGCTGACGCAGCTCAACCCGGCGGACGTGACGCAGCACGCGCGCATCCTGGAGCAGCACAAGGCCTGGGACGGCGAGCGGTGCATCATCATCACGTGCTCCTTCACGCCCGGGTCGTGCAGCCTGGCCGCCTACAAGCTGACGCCAGCGGGCTACGAGTGGGGCCGCAACAACAAGGACAGCGGGAGCAACCCGCAGGGCTACCTGCCCACGCACTACGAAAAAGTGCAGGTGAGAAGCGTCCGCCGCACCCGGCTTTGTTCATGTCAGGTTTATCTAGGGCTTGGAGAAGCTCTGGATACCCGTTATCTACTCAGCTCTTTCTGAGATGCCGGCTGGTTCTCTGATTTTTGTTCTTCCTCAAGCTTACGTGAAAGCTGTCATTGTTGTTGATTGTCGTGATACCCAGGACAGGCTGACTGAGCGGGTTCCCTGTTATGCTGGTGCAGATGCTGCTGAGCGACCGCTTCATGGGCTTCTACATGGTCCCCGACCCGGGCAGCTGGAATTACAACTTCATGGGCGTGCGCCACAGCGCCAGCATGAAGTACGGCCTGCGCCTGGCGCCGCCCAAGGAGTTCTACCACGAGGCGCACCGCCCCACGCACTTCCTCGAGTTCAGCACCATCGAGGAGCAGGAGGCCGTCGGCGAGGCCGACCGGGAAGACCTCTTTGTATAAGCGGGAAGGCGCTCACAGATCGGGGGCCGGAAGTTGAGATGACCAGTCGAAAGTAGAATAAACACGTTGAAAGGGTCACGCGCTGTCCAGTCTGTGTCGGTCATTGTATATTACAGCAAGCTTCTGGACCATTTCTTGTATTGGTTCCTTCCAAAATTTCGAGATCTTGTTTTCGACTGACAGCCCGCGCGCAAACACAAAGCACACAGCAAGAAGATGGCATGCCAAAAGCCACTCCTACTACGTATTGTAGTGTGCCGTAGCGGAATGGGAATGCACCCCCTGGCAAGCGGGGCCCCAAGAAGGCTGCGATAAAAGCCTACAATAACCGGGCCGTTTTACTGCGCCGCATCCGACCAAATCTCAGCTCGGGATCCCGAATGAGCGGAGTTCAACGTACTACGAACTATAAAATGCATATACATGTGCTCTGATCTTTAAGCACCTAATTAAGCGAGCTTGGTCGAAAGTCCTGGTTAATTATGAGGCGTCGAGTTGGGCACCAACGGTCATGGTCGGGTGGCTCGTTGGGCTGGCACCAGTTGAAGGAACTGGGTGGCCCTCCGGCCGTCAATCTAAAGTTAGAGGAAATTCTATTCGTAATTGTTTGGTTGGTTAAACGATTGCTCCCTTGACCCAAACGGCCTTTGCTTTACATGCAGCTTAGAACAATATCTAGCTTGTTGAAAAGATCACCCCATGCAAACAAATCTCCATGTTAATTTTCCTCTAATTCGAGTAGAAGATGAGAATTGTGCACGTAACAACCGATCGCTCAATCAATACGGGTGCATGGGTTGTTTACTTGGTAGTTAGGATTCTCAAATGATCCTACTCCTAGCCCATGCACGCAAAGTGCGCGCTTAACGAGCTCGATATGAATCTAAATCTACGAGACGAAATTGCCAGGTTCCGTGCATGGTATATGGAATATTGTCACTCGGATTAGTCTAGTCTACCAAGATCCTATGTCTAAGCTAGCATGTACATGGGACTGTGTAGAGGCCGTTCTGCAAACCCTTCGACTAGGAGGGTTCCTTATAATCAGCTTCATTCTTGGGCCCGCCTTTTTCTGTGGGAAGAAGGTACCTCCACGCAAAAGAATTCCGGCCACTGTCGCTGCGAGGGTGCTCTCATTAAATGGAGCCAATGCAAGGCTTCAAGGAAAGAATGCGACACCATGAGCTAATGCATTCTGCTAGAAGAAGATTGCCGCTCCCGAAGATCGATGGTTACCCGTCATTGACGACCAAATCGACGGTCTCGAGCTTCTGGCCGGCACGGCGTGGCGCCATTCGGCCGGCACCTAGTACTGCCAGCAATTTTCGACCCGACCTCTACCGTACACTGGCCGAGAAGACTGCCAGGCTGCATTCGCTTACCGTATTAAACTTTGTCAAGATCAACCATCAGCATTATCTAGTAGTGTTCCTTCGAAGCAAGTCGACAAAGAAAAGAGCTTTGCAAAAATGTCAGATATCATTTTTAGCAACTTTATTCCGATTTCCCCTTGTCAAAACTGCTTCGGAAAGGCTGAAAAACAGGATTTGTATCATTTATACGATTGCCCGAAAACTTCTTGGCAGCCCGCTGACGGATCTATTTGAAGTAACTGAGCAAGTGTGGGGCCGTATTGGCAAGCAATAAGTACTCGGGGGCCAGGGCCCTTGTGTTGCACCACTGAGTGACCAGTCTGACGATGAGGGGACGATCGAGAAGTTACCCCGGCAAGGCCGACTCTCTCCTTTGGTAGATAAAAGTTTTGTCTACAATCGAGTTTCACTTGTAATTGCTACAGTCAGCTTAGTCATCTTGTCAACGTTGATTTGCAGCTGGTGTATATCAGTGTTTCCGCAAGCTGAGAAGCAGAGAAGCAGATCCCACTAGCTGAGCAGATTTTTGGCCGCTTTGGTTGGTAAGCACCTTCACCTTACTAGTCTATTGGGCAGCCGTCAGAAAAGTCTCCCAGTAATTCGATCAACGTGCCTCTTGCTGGCAACATGACGGCCTGTATGGCACCTGATCAGCCCGAGAGAGCTGCGGCAAAGAAGATCCCCGTGACTGTGGTGACTGGGTTCCTGGGCGCAGGCAAAACAACACTTGTCAACCACAGTAAGTTGAGAATGTGCTCGTCAAGGCCAGTAGTGCCAGTAAGCTGAGTACAAGGTTATGCTGCAGGTAGTTGTGGGCCTGATACCTGACCAAGTCTTTGACAGCCTTGCTTTCAGCCGTTGCTTGGCATTCACTACTTATTGTGTCAGGCTGATAGACGGCCACCTCTCCTACCGTCAACTTGAGGAGTCTCCACCAGCTTGATGTAGTGAGCAGTTGATTACTAGTCCTAGTCCTCAGGGTTTTGAAGCTTCTGGGTTGACACTGTTCCTCTTACCATAACATTCACTAGAAAGAAGAGATGCAGGGCTTCAGATCCGAAGCCCTCTCAGAAGCAGTTAGCACCGCAATGATGCTTGATCTCCTGTCCCTTGCAGTTTTGAAGGAGAACCATGGCATGAAGATCGCCATCATCGAGAACGAGTGGGTTTATAGAACCTTTGTGTCTACTAGCGTCAAAGCAAACCAGGCAACCAGACGTGTCAGAGTTCTGAATCCAGATCAACAGGCCCCTGATTCCATGGCCAAAGCAAAGTCATACGTCCATTTTTGCTGAACCGCCCGCCAAGATATATTCGATGTGGTACTTAGGCACCCTTAAGAGATGGATGTAGTTCGTAGTGCCTTCCCTCCCTTCCCTATGTTCTGCAAGCTGCCCCGATGCCACCTTTCTAGACTTTGTGGCAAAGACTCTGAAAGCACCAGAAAAGAGACGCCCCTGGTCACAGCCTTGCCTCGTAAGCGTATTATTCAGAACATCAAGGGGACTTGTTGCACTGCTGCTGTTTATATCTAACGGCTGTTTCCAATCTTCCCTCCTAGCTCGCACAGTTCAATCCGTGTTGAAGCGACAGAAAAGGTCGTGCTAGATAGGGGCTCGCATACTATCCAACCTTTTGGCCCTAAAATTGCACTATTGTCTGCAGGTTTGGCGAAGTGGGTGTCGATGACGCTCTTGTTATTGACACTGAGGAAGGTGAGTGAAGACAGCTTGTCACTTGCTGCGAGGACTCTAACTGGGCTCGCTCGAAGAGCAGACTGGTTTCTTGCTTTTTGCTTGCCCGTCCTGATCAGAGTCCTCGGAGGCCCTATTTTGATAAGACATAAGGAAGGTGGTGCTTGAAAGAATCTCATCCTAGCCCTGAGAAACTGTGCATGGATTGGTACTTCCCCTCCTGCACAGACGTGGCTGACTAATGGAAGCTAGTCGTTTAAGTGTTTAATCAGGAAGAATCGGAATGCTGAGACAGGTGCAAGGCGACTTGTGTCTTTCCCCAAACTGCGAATCCTTCTGCAGAGATCTTCGAGATGAACAACGGCTGCATCTGCTGCACCGTGCGGGGAGACCTTATCCGGATACTGATCAAGCTGGCGGCACGTCGCAACCAATTCGACGCGATCCTCATAGAGGTGAACTTCCTCTGCTTCTTCAGTCGTAGGTCGGGCAAATTCTCGGTCCAGCTGTAGATCCACCCAAACGGATGATAACATTTGGCTCTACGGTAAATCTAGGACAGGTGCCCATCTAGCCTTGTTCCTCGCAGTTGTGTCCTTGTTTGATGAAGCAGACGGAATGTGTTGCTTTGAAGTGTTACGCATCTCACAGGATTGACTGCTGCACAAAAACTCGCTATTATCTCTTGAAAGATCTTTTAAACTCGTGTCCACTTGCAGACGACTGGGCTCTGTGACCCTGCCCCTGTTGCCCAGGTACGCTTTCAAGACACCAACTCTTCAGAAAGCAATGGGGTTACCGCTCACACTTTTTTGTGGTCGCAAGCGTCATATGCACTCACTCCCCTGCGCTAAAATGCTAGGTCTTAAAGTTGTCCGGCAGCAACCGCTTCCAAATGAAACGTCCAAATGAAACGTAAATGAGGCCCACGACAAGCCTCACAAGAGGGATTTTGATGTGGGCCTCCACTTTTCACCATCACTGCAAAGAAACCCGTCCGATTGAAAGGACGCTTTGACTTCACGATGTGGACGACCAGGACGTTTCTTAAAACCTTGGGTTAGCCGTCAGCAACATATCACTCATCAAGTGCTCTCTCTTGCATCTGAAAATGTAGTACATAGATTCAAAGTCACGGGTCGAGCAGGTCGACTCCCCAACAAAAGTGGTCGTAGCCCCTCGTCCATGGTCCGCATGCGGAATCCCGGCATTGACAAGCAACACTTTCTGGCGTTCTCCTGCAGACCTTCATGCTGGACCCCGACATCAAGAACCGCTTCACAATCGACTGCATCCTCACGGTTGTCGACGCGTATCACATCGAGCAGCACCTCAAGGAAAAGAAGCCGGACGGGGTGGAGAACGAGGCCGGTAAGAGAGCGAACGCTCTCAGACCCGTCAAATCGTTCTGGATGATATGATGGGCCGTCAGCTCCAGTGGGGCACTGAGGTGACTCTATTGCTGCCCTTTTCATGATATGCCCTCCTTTGGAGGTCTAAGTTCGATTAGAGCTTGGCAGCTGGTGTAGGGTGTTGACCGTCAAACAAAATCTCACAGGATCCGTGTAATACGTGCCTCAAGTTCTCAATCTTTGAAAAGCTCAACGACAATCCAACCCACTCCTTGTATGTCATTTTGCAGTGGAGCGGGTTGCGTTCGCTGACAAGATCCTGCTCAACAAGGTACGCTTTTGGGGATAGTACGTCGCAGTTGAGATGGGCAGTCTTTCAAGCCGAGGAAAGTCCACCGAAATGAATGTCCATACATACTGACGCTGGCCATCTCGCGTCACAAACTGCTTCTGCCTGTCGTGGTGCCTTTCGGAGCTTGCTTCACTGAAGTTTCTTCTTTGAACGAACATTCCAAATAGAAATTTCGACAACAAGCACTGAGCATCCTTCGGTCGTTGGCTCAGGTTGACCTCGTTACCTCTGAGGAGAAGGTGCACGTGAAGAACAGCATCCGTGCCATCAACAAGGTGAGAGAGCGGTTCGAAAGACGCGCTCTAGTTGGGTCACAATTTAAGCGTGCCCATCAAGCAGCCGACCCCTGTGTCTTGCAGACGCCTTTGTCTCGGTGCCCTGGGTAATTGTTCCCACGATGACTCCTCTTGCTCGGTAAAGCAGACGAGTCTTTCAATTGGCAGGGGGGGTGGTGGCGAACTCTCTTTGTGGACAGTGAAATGGGACACGCTCGTTTTGCTTTGAATCGTGCAACTCTGGTTGGGGGTTCTCGTCGGCTTGCTTCTTTCCTGGTTATTTCGAAGCCCGTTACGCGGCCCAGAAGCAATTGGCTGAACAGACGTCTTGTCCTAAGAACCTCCCAAAGAAACACCCAAAGAATGACCTCCTGTAGTACGCAAATGTCCTGTAGGTTTTTTGGAAGGCTGCCTTGCATTCAGCGTGCAGATGTTTCCTGAAAGGCGCAACCCTTGATTTGACTTGCAGTTCTGTGACATCGTCGAGTGCCAAAATTCGCGCGTACCTCTGAAGGAGATTATGAACTTGAAGGTGGGTACCTGAACAGCTTGAGACCTCTTCGATCTCAACCAATCTGCTTCGCTCCTACTTTAAGCTGATTGCGGCCTGCACGCTGTGGGAATGCCTGAGGTTGCTAGCTAATGATCAACTAGAGGCTACAATTTCACGGGTTAGCTCGGATTCAGGTTCAGCAACTATTGTTTGGTGATCGCGTTCAAGAGACTCTCTCGGATGTGTCTGGACTAGACAAGGCGGTTGAGGACGCCGGGATCAGTGCCACGTGTCGTGCAGGCGTTCGACCTGGCCCGCGTCATGGACATGGACCCCGACTTCCTGAAGGTCGATGCTGAGCACATGCATGACCTCAGCGTATCCAGCGTGGGCATCCGGGAAGAGGGGAACGTGCACGTGAAGAAGCTCGAGAAGTGAGTAGCAGCCCTAGCACTGCATGTGTACTCAACTCTGAAACCCCGCATGGGTTGCTCATGACCGCCTTGGATATCACGAGACTCACTTCTTTCACAGAGCTTGCAGATCCGAAAGGCCTCTATCGAGCTTGTCCTTTTACGTCTGTGATGGCTCTTGGCATCTCATTCTGCCTTAGCTGCCACGGTCTTGACTGCAGGGCACCGTCCAAAGCCTCAGTCTGAGGCGTGCTAAACAATAGACGGCGTGGCGGTTATCGATTTACTAAAGTGAACGGTAATGTGGTTTTCTTTGGTGCCTATCAGGTGGCTAAGCAACCTTTTGAATGAGCGCGGCCAGGACATCTTCCGATCCAAGGGGGTGCTGTCGGTGGCGGGAAGTGACGAGAAATACGTCTTTCAAGGTACACCTTCTGACCAAGAGGAGTTTTCTTCGTGGCTGCGGTTTTTTGGCTCTTTGGCATTCGTTCCACTCGCTGCACTGGTGGACCGAGTACTGCTTGATGCTTTCCGCTAAAGTGGGCCCTAGTGGGCCCTGGTTCTCTTGGCCAAAACACTTGCGGTCAGATGGCAATGTTAAGGTCCTATCGTTTTGAGCCGCCGGTCGTCAGGGCTCTCACTGAGAAACTCTGCCTGCGAGATAGACGTGACCTCAATGGCGTCGAAACCTTTCCTCAGGCGTGCACATGCTGATGCGGATAACGTCCTCGGACGACGGGGTCGGGAAGGCCTGGCAGCCGGGCGAGAAGCGGGTGAACCGGCTCTGCTTCATCGGGCGCAATCTTGACCGGGAGGAGCTCACCAAGAGCTTTGCCAAGTGCCTGACGAAGGAGGCGACGTCAACCATCAAGACGCGTAAGCGCGCGCGAACCGAGGCTGCACCGGGCGACGAGGACTGAGCAAGTCACTTTTGCGGAAGGGCGCCAGTGATCGGGATTTGCAATTTGTGTTGTTGAGTAGAGGTTCGAGTCATCCCAGAAGCCCTCTTCTTCAGGTAAAGACTTGATGACATGCGGGCGATCGTGCACGGCCTTGCATCTCCCTTTCATGCATGCGGCTTTGAAACTCAGTGTCCTCGACACGGGTAGGCCTTAAAACTCACCGTCTGGCCGGCAACGAGCACTATCATGGCCATGGTTTGAGCAGCCGTGTGTCTTGAGAAGTATTTGTGTTGCTTAGATCATGCAATACACGCGGTATACAGATAGTGGCTTTGGGTGTCACTTCTGGGTTTAGACGTCAGTTTGAAGTTTGGGTTGGACGTACACTGATCGATGTTCCGTCTTGACCAGCTTGCGTTAAGGCACACGTCTTGATTTATGAAAGGGCATCGCATGCTATTTAAGGCAGGATTGCTGCACATGTACCGCACCGCGCATCCGGCCGGCCAGATTTCCTATAAAAGCTCGAGACGAGGCTCGGCATTCCAGTAATGCAAGACTATATAACGAAAGCCGTTGCCTTTTGCAATCCGATGATCGAGCGGGCTTTCGATCAAAGCTTCCTCCTTGATGGAGCTAAAGCGTTGCATCTGCATGCATGTCCGCGTTACTTTCTACGGTGCATGAAGCATTCCACGTACGGAACTGTTTTGAATGTTCGTTATCATATGGCGCGGCTTGAATACTGCTAAATTATCATGCACCGACTCCGCGTGCATCACACTGCATCGCTGACTGAGCCACGCGCAAATCTAGAGCTCGTTGCATGCCACCAGAGAGCTCGAGAACATACATATGTGAGGCGAGTTGCACTGCATGCGACTATAATGGGCAAGTACCATGCTTCAATTTCTAAAACCTGGCTTGATTCAATTCTGACATGTGATAGTAATCAATCAATGCTTCCAAGCGGTAGTCACGAGCTCACATTTCTGGAGACGTTTGCGACAATAGCACGTACGAGTCACATATTATAATGAAACATGATTCACCAACTTAAGTCTGTGTAGCATAGCATACAATTAAGTCTCCTTGCGCCCCGGCCCTCGACTTGACATTGCTTGCAGCTCCTGTGTGCAGCTTGACGACTAGGGGCAATCAGGTTCACTGGGCGAGAAGCACACGTCCAAGCTGTATGGCTGCTCAGTATGCTCGATTACTTATCTTGCAAGATCGACCGATTTGCATTCTCCAACAACTGGCAAGAGGGAGGCAGGCAAATGGAAAGTTGGCAGCTAAATGGCAACTCCGACGAGGTTATCGTCTCGTCTTTTTACGCTTCGTGACGTCTTTTCGATCATTCAACGCAGCTGGATAGACGAGAGGTAACAAGGGGTGGTTTGCCAGGTCGCCTTCTCGCAGTGCTTGTCTCCATCCTCGAAAGCTCCATGCGTCTTCGTCGTGAGGTTTTCGCCTGTATGTAGCCGCTCAAGCTTGAGATGACAATTACAGTTGTGCACATGTCGACGCAATAAGCATGGCGCAAACGATCGTAAAGTTGCCTTCAAAGCACCAAGGCCACGGGAGTTGGAACATGACCTGCCAGGAAGACATTCTTTCAGACCAGTCCGAAGCAGCCTCCAGCGATATTGACCCGTCTCCTGCCTCACCTCGCATGCCGTGTGTCCAGCACCCTCGCCCCGTCCGCAAAGTAGCTTATGCTGAGGGCTGCCCGTGCGTCCGAGTCCTCGGGCTGCGGCGAGGCGTAGTGCAAGCACCAGCCGTGGTGACACGTGGCATCCCCCAGGTCAAGAGCGCCGTGGTCCTCCAGCAAATATTCGCGCCGCTCCAGGTCCTCCATTCCCTCCAGGTCCTGCCAGTAGGCCAGCGAAAAGTCGCGGTGGGAACCTGCAACCGCACAACCCAAGGAACTGTTGACAATCGCAGGCTCCATAAGCAGGTAATGCAGAGTTTGTCACTATGAAAGCACAAGGGCCCTCGCATTGAAGGCCCCACGGTGGAGATACAACCTTGGCACCTCTTCCCATATCAACCGAAGCAGGCATTTGGACCTGCCAGGCAGGTGCATCCGCGGTGCCGGTGCCTTGCGATCAATGAGCGCGACTCACCGGAAGCGAACAGCAGGCCGGAGTCGTCTTCATCCATGGCGCGCAGCGGGATCCACAACGTTACAAACGCGTTCGTGTCCAGGGGAACCTGCCAAACGAGGACCGACTCAATCACTCCTCCGTCCACCGACTGCAACAGCTGCAGGCCCGCTTGTTGCCGCCAAATCCAGTCTAAGCAGCAAGTCCCGTCACCCGGTGCGGGATGAGTAAACGCATGCGGTTGACAGCTTGGGTCTCTGGGTTGGCCGCAATGCAGCCGCAATCTCGCACTAGGGTCGTTTTTCCTGCGAAGAACCAATGTGGAGCCATGCCAACTCCCCACGGTGCGTTGGTCATTTCTTACAACGACCCTTGTGCGAGTCTGCTGGCTGCTCAACGTCCAGGAGGGGGCCACTTGCTCCAAGAACTTTTCGAGCGTGGTGTACTCAGAGGTCCACATTCTCCGCCACGTTTCTCGAGTGAACCTAAGTGGTGAAAGACCTGGTGCATGGACCGGACTTGTCCGACAGAGTCGAACAGGCCAGGACCACAAAAGAAGCAATGCCCATCCTTCGAGGCTTACCATATTCAAATCAGAGTGCCAGTTGGTCGCCCCGAATCCCGGCTGCTTCAAAAAGAGACAGTCCTGCAGCCGCAAGTTGTACTGTGAATAAGGTGACCACATAAGTGACATCAAGTTCCTCTCTAAGAAGAGTCACACTCGATGCAACACAGTCTCAACATTGTTGCCCAGGGACGGTCATTCAAAGTCAAGGAAAGTCAGCACTCTCTTGAGAAGCCGGCCTTGATCTCTTTGCATCAAGAGGGGTTGGAATGCAACAACAGGCAATCTTTATCAGGAACGATGTTGCAAACTCGGACGTTCACCTGATACAGTCGCACTTTCGAGGCGCCCAAGAGATCCGCAGCCACCCTGGCCAGCCGAGGGGAAGTGACCAGTTCCCGGACTGTGCGGCTGTAGCGGTGCAGGTTGAACATCTGGAGGAAGCCCAGCTCGTCGGTAGCATGCTCGGCCAACACGGCCAGCGCCTGCTCGATGTTGGACACCGAACTAGCGTCCACCCCGGGGCACAAGACAGCAACCTGCGGAACGCAAGTTGAATGAGGGCAGGATTCAAGAAACAAGTATTGTCATGCCTCTGCAACCCCCCTATGCTTCCCCATGTAGTGTGGCCACCACCAGCACGTTGAATGAAAGTAGTCCTTACCCGGTGTCGGTACGCTTCAAGCTCTTGCTCCCTTGCAGCAGCCCAGATCTCTTCCGCACACTCCTCCATCGCCTCTTCTGGCACAAGCTGGCGCACCAAGACGTGCCCTGAAAGAACAGGCAACACTGAACTGGAGTGGTGTGCTCAGAGGCGGGGTCACTCTGCTGGAGTGGCAGCATCAGAGAAGTTTGTGGGATGCTTATCAGGGGGACCAGATGATAACCAAACTAGCTCTTACAGACAAAAGATCAGGGCATTCTCACCTGTTCTTTCGAATTGCAAAAGTTGTTTCAGAGACACCTTCACTTCAGTATCAACTGCTTCTTTCCATCTGCCATCCAGTTGCTTTGAAGCTTCTCCTTCCGCTTCATTTTTGACCACGTGCTTAATGTTTTTTTGCAACTTCCCCGGGCTCTGCTTCTCAACGTTATTTACTGTTCCAATCTGCTCCCCCTTGTCCCTATTCACTAACCGCTTTGAATCTTTATGTTCAGACCGTGGAGATGCATCCTCAGTGATGGCCTGCATTATACTATTCCAGTATGCATCGTCTCTGGTGGTATGTCTGTGGAAGCTCTCTTCCTCCTCCGTAACATCCTCGTCCGCCTCTTCAATCGCGACACTGTTCCTGGCTGCTGCATTCACACCCCACTTGCGCGGCCACAAGTGGCTCTCTCTTTTGAGTTGCAGCGGATTGCAACACCAATGGGCGTTTCCAGGGTGCAGCTGATTGCCACCACTCTCCAAGGACAGTCTCGCGCCAGGCAACTGACCGCTACTGCTTACAAAACACTTAGTGTCAGGCTTTTTGCATCTACTACGATGTGGATCGTGACATCCATTGTAGTTCACCTTAACAACGTTCTCATTCCATATATGAAACTTGTCAGAGTAGATGCTGGAACTGAAAGTTCTCTTGCAACCTGCGTTCCAAGTGGTGCTCATTGTGATGAAGCGCCAAAATATTGGAGTGGCGCAGGATGGTAGCTGCTTTCTGTGAGGAGAGAATAAAGGGCCACACAGTGAGAAGGCCCTCGGTGGCGCCTTGTAGTAGTTGTACCTCTGCTCTGCTTCTGAGAACACAAACTCCAATAGGAGCATGACTGGAACCCTAAAGGACGAGCTTAGCCCATAGAAACCCTAATTTTAAACCCACATTTTTTGAACACTTTGTCATTGAAGTTTGTGGGTTGCCCCACCATTTTCGGCAGCAGTGCATCCTGCATGGTTGTTGGCACCAGGCAGCGGGAAAACGGGCGGATGGGCGCCATGATGCCAATGGCTGCGGCAGCCGCAGCCACTTGACTCTGACGGTCTTGATTGCATAATAGTTAAATACCCATATGTATCAGGCAACTTTGTAGGAGGGATCATATCGTTGATGGATCCCACTTGTGCACCTTTCTTCCTTTCTGCCAGCTGAGCTGACACACCATGACCTGAGGAGAAATCGACGCAAATGCTGAATCCCACCTGCTGGGGGTCTTCGTAGACAAGGATTGCTGAAGAGCTCCTGCAATTGGCTCTGAGCCTCGCTAGCCCCTATCAAGACGATGATGGAACCAAGGAAGTGAAACGTTGTTGTTAGGATTCATGCGTCCTGCGTCCCGGAAATTCATACCGCAAACAACCAATTTGCTTTACATATGTAATATCTAGTTGTGCTACTTGATCAGGTATGGCCTGCACCACTTTTCAAGTGACCAGCACCAATCTGGGGAGCGCACTTGCCTCCCGCAAGCACTGCTGCTTGAGGCCCTCGTCACAGGTCAGCTCTGCAATTGCTGGCGCTTTCCCAGAGGTCCGTCGCCTTCATGATAAGACGAGAGCAGGGAGCAGCTGGGCTCAGAAGTATGCGGTAAGCTTGGGCGAACGAAAAGGGCTGGAGAGGCAACATATTTCAAAACAACGCTGGAGAATTAGGGTTCACTCAGGCGTGGCTTCGAGATCTTCAGAATCCAATGGAGTAGCTACACCAGAGCGGCTACCTTCAGCTGCCATTCTGGATCAGGATGGAGATCTTGACGAGGACTGGGAGGCAGCCTGGACCCCTCAGGATGCAGCTGATCTATATCGAGTCGAAGGATGGGGATCTCCTTACTTTTCAATCAATGCACGGGGGAACGTGGCAATCCGGCCTAAGGGCTCTGAAGATGGTAAGAATCTCTCGGCTGGTCAGCATGTTGGATTCTGTAGAAGAAATGCGTTTGAGCTGGCCCGTTCGCTGCTTCAACCATCATTCAAGCCTGATTGCGTACAAGTCTCAATCAGTTGGCTCAGGCAGTCTGCACGATGTATTGTCGAACAAGGACTTGCCTTTCAATCATAAAGCTGAAGGGAGCTGTGCATTGGTGTGATCAGGATCGGATGAGCTGGATCTACTGGAGCTGATCCAAGCTGTGCGCAAGAGGAACGTGGAGCTGCCAATGATTCTTCGCTTCCCCGATATCGTCCAGCATCGCATGGCCCAGCTGCAGGGGTGCTTTGACACCGCCATCGGAAAATATGGCTATCAGGTACCTGGACAAGCATCTTTCCTTGCTGAGTACAATTTTTTTTGAATAGCTGATGAAATCAGTGTCCCCCTCTCCATTACTTTGTAATATGGACGCAGCATGGGAAACTAGCCAGAATATCTTCAGCATGGTCTGTTTGAGCTTGACGCTTGCAGCCATTTTCTGAGCTGTATGCTTCTCCTTGCAGGGCCACTTCCAGGGCGTCTTCCCTGTCAAATGCAATCATGATCGATATCTCATAGAGGACATCGTCGAGTATGGCAGGAACTTCAGGTTTGGTTTGGAGGCTGGCTCGAAGCCAGAGCTACTGATTGCAATCGCCAACCTCAGAGAAAACGATGATGCGCTTCTTGTTTGCAATGGTTATAAGGTAAGCAAGGCCTGCCCGTTCTGTTGTAACAGTTCAATTCTGACAAAACAAAGTCGATTTGGGGATATAAGTAGCACGGTTTTGTCAGTATTCGTCCTTGCACATTGTTGAGCATCGTGGCCCTTCTGCGGCTCCAAATTGTTCGTTTCTCAGCTGTGCAGCTCCGCTCGAAGGCCTGCCAGTCTGCACTTCCTGGAATGCCCAACTTGTTTCCTTGGTTGTTTCTCCCAGCTGTCAGTGCCATCAAAATCCATGCAGGAGTTGAAGAGGGCCAGAGAATGCGATGCTCGTTTGACCAGAATAATCATGATTTGTTCGCTAGCTACTTTCGTTCTTCCTGTGGAAAAAAGAACATCAAAAATAAATTCCGATAATCTCCATTTTTGAAACCAATTACCAAGCTTGCTCTACAGGATGAAATCTACATGGAAAGTGTCCTGCTGGCAAGGCAACTGGGAACGAACGCTGTGATCGTCTTGGAGCAAGTGAGACATTTGTCAACTCTGCACCTGCATGTCATGCGCAGAAGCACCCTTCACTGTATTCTTCTGCATAGAGGTCCGAAAGGCTCAAGTATTGCTCGATATCTGCTTGGCTGGCAAGGTAAGTCGATAGGAAATGGAAGAATGTTGGTATTTTGGTGTATGTGAAGACAGGGAATAAGGTCCCGTTGACAAATCGAGAGTTGAAAACTGTCGGCGCCTTCTTCAAAGGCGTTGAAGGTAACTGCTTACAGTCCAAGCTGGGTAGCACAACTCGTCTCTTTCAGCATTCGGGAGGTGGACATACCGAACGGTATCCGTTCCTTGGTGCAGGTGGACGAGCTCCCGCTGCTGCTCCACGTGAGCCGCAAGCTGGATGTGCGGCCAGTGATTGGCGTGCGAGCCAAGCTGAGTACCAAGCATGACGGCCACTGGGGGGGGACGTCGGGGGACAAGGGCAAGTTTGGGCTGACCATCCCCGAGATTGTCAAGGTGGTGTACACCCTGAGAGAGGTATGGCCCCGGATCCACTTTAAAGCCGCATGTGCCGCGTGGGAACAGCAGGGGCGACGTGACCAGCCAGCGTGCTCCCGAAGGCTTGGTCCATGCACTTTGTGTCTCGGTGGTTATGATCCTTGAACATGATCCTTCGAAGATCTGAAAAGGTGGAGCAGATGCCGTTTGGCGCCCTATCGTTTCGGGAGCCTGTCCTTGAGCGCGTCTCGACGTCCGTGCCTGCCTGTTCCGCAGGAGGGCATGCTGGACTGCCTGCAGCTGCTGCACTACCACGTCGGCTCCCAGGTGGCGGACATCGCCATCATCAAGGAGGCCATGCGCGAGGGCAGCCACCTCTACTGCGAGCTGGCCACCATGGGGGCCGCCATGGTGAGCCCGCCCCGGCGGAACTGACGGCTGCCCCTGGCAACCCAGGGGGCGCTCCTTAGAAGTTCAATGACGCCCAACCCGGTCACACGCCTTGTTTTAGAAGGGGCCCTGCACCCGTTTGCAGTGACCAGCTTGACTCTTAGTACTTTAGAACCTGCGTCTCACGAGCGGCATGTGTCGTTGCAGGGGTACATCGACGTCGGGGGAGGCCTGGGCATCGACTACGACGGGACGAAGGGCAACAGGTCGGGGGCGTCGACCAACTACAGCATGCAGGCAAGTCGCCAAAGATCTGACCGATCATCTTCCCGTCCTTCTTCTTACAATCACTGACGAAGGCGTGCCTAGCAAGAGTCCGCACTGCGCTGTTAGTCCTGCCAAGGGTCGTACGGAAAACGGGCCAAGAGTCAGATCGAAAGGAAGTTCGGTCCGTTCGCGAATCACTGCTTGCGAGACCCGCAAGAATCTTTTCCGCTCCTTCCAAGCATCGAGAAGATTTTTGAAAGAGCGGACGTGCTCCTTTCCTGTTTGACATTGCTGTAAATGACGTTGTGACGGATGCGAACATGATTGACACCTTCCGAACCCGTTTTGCGACTTGCTAGTCCAACTCCAGTCGCGCACTTCTCCAATATCGGGCGGATTCCTTTTGGTTGGAAACTTTCACTGCTGTCGGTCTGCCGTCGGGCTCCCGGAGCATGACTTCACCCGGTGCCCGCCGTCGCTGTTCTCCGCAGAACTACGCCAACGACGTGGTGGCGGCGCTGCTGGACGCGTGCGTGGTGAAGGGCGTGCGGCAGCCCGTGATCGCGTCCGAGTCGGGCCGCGCGCTGGCTTCGCACTCGGCGGTGCTGGTATTCGACGTGCTGAACGACAGCGAGAACGCGGAGAGCGACGCGCTGCGCAACCTGGCGGTCCTGGAGGAGCACCACGCGGCGGGGCTGGGCAGCATCCAGCAGGGGTGGCCGCCCAAGCAGGACGGCCTCGCCACCAACGGGCTGCAGCCCGCGCGCCGCGACCCCGGCCAGTACCTGCTCTCCACCTTCTACCAAGTCTTCGCCACCATCGACCAGACCAACTTCCAGGTGCGGCCCAGGGGCGGGGGCAGCCAGGGGGAAGGGGAGCGGGTACTCTCCTAGCGTTCGAACAGTCGGCCTGCTCAGCCCTGCGATTTTGTGCACTTACTATGACCAGGTTGTCGTCGACTGCCCTTCATACATCTTTCTGACCTCTGGCCTTCTGGTGGTTCTCAGGAGGCGTTCAACGACTCGAAGCAGTTCAAGCAAGAGGCGGCCAACCTGTTCAAGCTCGGCTGCCTGAGGTAAGCAAACGCCTGCGCTCCGGATCGGAGCCGCCCATACTCGGCTGCGGCAGTCAGCAGCGGACTTGAACGAGGCGGATCACGCGTTCTTCAGCAACATCTCGTTAACGAGGCCCACAAACATGGCGGTCGTTGAGCGTTAACTAACCGATCTTGTAAGGAGCTCTGAAAATGCGACTCCTAGGACATGCATTCCGAAAGGTGCACTCTATATTCTGCATTGCATTTCAAACAATGAAGTCTCCTTTTGAACGGTTTGGTTTCGTTTGATAAGATTGTCCGTTGGTCGGCGTCTCTCTTTTGTGCGTCGATAACAGCGCCGCGTGTTCCCTGGTCGCAGCCTGGAGCAGCGCGCACAGGCCGAGTCGCTGCACACGGCCATCTGTCACCGCGTGTTGGCGTACGCGCGCAACGAGCCGCAGATGCCCGCAGAGTTGAGCGCCTTGAGCGAGGCCATGGCGTCAGTGTGAGCAGCCCCCTGCCCGTGGCCCCTCCTGCGGCCTTGCCGACTGCAGCATGCCCCTCCTGCGGAGAGGTCCCGCGCGTTGTTGACTTTGGTACGTTTTGACATTGGTGCGTTTGCAACTGAGTAGCGCACGGGATCGCTCCAACCGGTGTCCGTCCGCAGCTCCAGCCGGCTTCGCTGATAGGATGGCCGGAACTTGCCTCTGCCGGGCGACTAAGACGCCTCTGTTCCGCCTGTCCAGGTACCACGTGAACCTGTCGGTGTTCCGGTCGGCCGTAGACACGTGGGCCATCGACCAGCTGTTCCCCATCATGCCCCTGCAGCGCCTCAGCGAGGAGCCAACCACCATGGTGAGCGCACCTGAGCTTCAATCCGCAGCTCCACGCGCTCAAATCTTTGTGATTGACAGTGCAGACTTCCCGATCGTAGGGGGCAGGTTTTTTGCGCAGTGGCTGTCGTGCTTAGCGCACGCGTGCGATGGGTGGTGCAGGCCACCCTGGCGGACCTGACGTGCGACAGCGACGGCAAGATCACGCGCTTCATCGGGCCCGACAGCACGCCCAGCTCGGTGCTGCCCGTGCACGAGCTGCGGCAGGGGGAGGCCTACTACCTGGGCATGTTCCTGGGGGGCGTCTACCAGGTCAGCGGCCGCGCACGCGCCGCACACAAAGAAGCCATCTTCTTGATCTTCTCCGCTCCGTACCGATACAGTATCCTTCTTTGGGTCTGCTCTCGGCAGTCGGAGTCGTTATTGAAAAAGTTTTTTCTGCTCCTCCCTCGTGCTGCGCTGACACGCACGGGTGGCCGTCGCAGGAGGTGATGGGCAGCCTGCACAACCTGTTTGGCGGGCTCAACGTGGTGCACATCCGGGCCAAGCCGAAGCCGGGGCGCGCGGCGGGCGGGTACGCCATCGAGCACGTGGTGAAGGGGCAGACGATGGAGGAGGTGCTGCGGACGGTGCAGTACGAGGGCGAGGACATGATGGAGAGCCTGCGCAACGAGGCGGAGGAGGCCGTCGACGAGGGGCGCCTCACGCTGGAGGACGCCTCCGCGCTGCTCATGAACTTCAACCGCAGCCTCAAGTCGTACACGTACCTCAAGAGCCGGAGTCAATAGGCCGCATGCAGCGTCTGAGAGCTTAAAGGCTAGCGTTTCTGGTCGACGTGAGGCTGCGCTATATAAATATTTGAAGAGAATAGGAATGCACATTCTTTGATCAATGAGCTGCCAGCTAGAGATTGATCGGCGCACGCATCCGCTTATGTGAATCAAGAGATTCGGTTAGCAAAGTTGCCAATATTAAGATACAGAGTGATCATGATTTTGCCAGGCTTCCAATCAGCAATCGGATTGAGTATTGCGTACACTTAGCTTGTCAGGCGCGTCCGGTCGTGGACCTTCAGTGGGCGTTCACAATGTAAGTTGCGCAGAATCAACTTGAGCATGCATACGGACGGTCGTGCTCGATCGCAGAACCTCACTTCGCGGCCTAATTTCCACGGTTCATGCCAGTGTCTGAGCTGTAGTGTATACCCGAATTGCAAGATATGTCCAATTTTTGAGGTTGATGGCATCAATCAGTGATCATGCAAGCGCCAAAACCTCGATCGATTGTGGGATCTGTTACGGCATGCCGGGTGCTCATGAGTCTGGCATGTGCACCACATCGGAATTCGGACATGCTGTGAGGTGGCCGGGCATGCTACCCTAAGCGCTTTCTTAATGCTTGATCCTTGAGTCCGCGTTTGCATGGGGCCATGCAACAGGCTATTGGTTGGTGAGTGGCAAATGGAGCTTGAGTTTACTATCGATGGACATTTCAAACTTGCTTGATTGCTTGGCCAGCATGTGCAGTTATATACCTCGACCTGATTCCATAAGTTCATCGCTGAATTTGATGTCAGCGATCACACGTACCCACACGTCCTTTGCCTGAGCGCCACACTGGTTGACAGGCGGCTGCATGTGGCACTGCGTACATGGCATATCTCTATTGATGCCGCTTGCCGGCCGGATCATGGAACTCTCAGGTCCGCCTGGCACGCCCAAGGCGGGTCACGCCAACCATGCTCACCAACCACAGTGGCCGGCATGGCCCTCCAGTCGCCGGATTAAGTATGACACACACATATACAGGCTATATTCAAGTGCACTACGCACAAAGATTCAGGTAAGGAAACCCGGCCAGGGACGTGGCCAGGGCCAGTCTTAAGAACCTATGTTAATGACTAGGTTTTAACTTGGGAAATTCAACTGGCAATATAGGTATCTACGATCAGGCTCGAGGAGACTGATCCCCGCATGCACCCCTCGAGCATGACTCCCGCATGCACCAAATTGAACAACACTGAGCTTAGAATTCGGTCGAGCTTTAGGGTTCGTCTGGACCTAAATCAAAACATGTTCTTCATACACATTCACATATGGCCCGCAACAACTGGCCTTTTCTGATCATAGGGCTATCGTCTGAGGCGCTTGTAGAGTGCAGTCGAACGTCAAGGTCTCCCAAGTGCGGTCTTCGTTCTTAGCCAACTTCCTTAAAATTTCAGACTTGAACGCCTGAGCCCAAGGCTCTTCGAACTGCTGAGTACTCAAAGAAGCCGGGACGGAAAAGCTGTTGAAACAAAGAAAATAATTATCTGAGTAAGTTCGAGGGATGATTAATGACGACAAGAAGGTTCTGTCTTCCACAAGACCCAAGTCCTCCATTCGTGCATCCTATCTCTCAGTCTGGACCCACGAAAGAGTGAAGGCTACAACAGAATGTCTCAATATTGATGTCTAGGGGATCGAGAAATATTACCTGCAAAGCGCAATGTCGTTGCCGGTTCTTTGATGTCCAGTGTTTGGAGAGCGTTGTTCAGTATCTACATTGTAACGGCTGCAAGTGAGTGGTAGGCGGGTCAGAAACTTTTGGGCCGAGAATTAGTGTCCCAACTGTCCACGTCGGTTACACCAGTTTAAGTACAGAGAGAGGAAAATGGGGCTTGGTTGGGCTACAACCAATTCTTCTCACCAGGTGGAGCTTCCCAGAAGTAGCAACACAAGTTCTAACACGATACTCGTTTGAGCTGCAAGCCCTTCGACTCCATCAAATGTTCAAGGAAGAACCTTAACTAAGAAGCTGCCCCACCAGCAAGCCCGCAGCTGGAAAAGGTGAAGGGAAGCGGACGAGAGGCAGCGCGCAGCGCGGGGGCCGCGGGTCAGATGGAACAGGTACACCGCAGGGTAACCAAGGAGCCACCTGCAAGGCAGCAGTGTAAGCAGGAGAAAGGCAAGGGTCGACTGTTGAGAGCAAGTCCATTTGACGCTGGAGCAAGTCCAAGAAACTTGAAAACTATCATAGGCAAGCTCGGAGATGTCATAAGAAGCTTCCTGTTTGTTTTCTCCAGACTGCTTATGAGAGCCAGCCTAAGTGGGCAGCCTAGCTCACCCGTTGAGGCTGGGCAGGGGGAGGGGTTGCTCCATCAGGAGTCCCTCCAGGTCGATGCAGAGGGGGGGGGCAGGCTGCTGCGCCTCTGGTGCGCTAGCAGCAGCTGCGGCCAGGCCAGAGGCAAACTGGCGGAGGTGGTCATGGAAGGAGAGGCACTCGACTGCAGTGACAAACTTTACCAACTGAAGTCACATCCGCTGCATTTGCAGGGAAAACAGTCAAAATGGCAAACAACGGGGCACACCACCTCTTGCCAGGGTGGTGGCATGCCCAACGTGTGTACTGGTCGCAGAGTACGATGCACAATCTCGAGAGGGCACCTGGACAGCTGTCAACTTTGCAAATCACCAATTCCTTTCAAACTCACGGCGGGGACCAGCTTAGAGCCCTCACTCGTGGTTCCCCCTCATCTACCACCACTCCAAGGGGCTGCGTGGCGGTGGGGGGCGTGCTGCTGGTGGGCACTCGCTGCAGCAGGGCGGCCAGCTTGGCCAGGTACAGGCAGCCGCCCATGTGCAGGAGGCGCGTGTCGGCCAGCCGCGGCAGGCGCGCCAGGCTGCCCAGCAGGGGGCGCAGCTCCTCCCGGGAGGCCACCACGTAGTCCAGCATCACAACGTCCCGTAGGCCCGAGCTTAGAGACAGCAGGTCTGCTCAGAAATACAGAGCCGAGGAACTGTAGAAACTTGTGGTCATAGTCAATCAGCAAATACTCCAGAAAGAGCGTCAGAAAGCATCAAGCACTCTTCAAGGCTGGCCACTTCGCAGGAGATCACATGATGACTTGCAGAGGTGCAGTTCTGAATGCAGCTAATCCAAGGGTGACTTCAGATGCAAGAATGTTTTCATACCATGAAACAACCGCCGCCGCGCCTTCCTGAGATTTCTACCAAGCTGACGGTGCAGAATGGAGGCCAGCTCTTGCGCTTCTCCTTCTGATAGGGGTCTCTCGGGGCTTTCTTGCTCCACAAACCGGTTCATCATTGAGATTGAAAACATTCAAAGCGTCGTGCTTCGGACTGTCAGTGTTGAAAATGCTGGAAAAGCTCGCTGTCTTGTGGCCTGAAGCTGTCGAGGGGCATGGTGCAATGCCAGCCTGCCTGATGTGGTGCACGACGACAGGAACACGATCAGCTCTGGTTAGGGTAAACTTGTACGAAACCAACTTTCAGAACAGGCCAGGTTCTAAAGCACAATCAAGGTTACATAATCCGAGTCCATGAAGAAGAAGAAGACCACTTTGAAACGCTGGGTTTGGTTTTGGAACACTGGCACCAGGGTTTCCTCGCGCTAGTGTCCTTCGTGTCCATCAGTCCTGTCTGGCATAAACTTCTTGTCCCCTAGAATGTTCAGATAAATATGTGCATCGGACGGTTCAGAACCAGAGGAAGTGACATCGACGGTCACTTCCGCTGAATCCCCGGGCACTTTCAGCGGTTGCCCAAGACTGACAAAGTGCTCAGTAAAACCAAAGTCCCGGAAGTCAAGGCCTAAACCGGAACACCTACAGCCAGTAATTTGAAGCAGAAGACTGCCGCAATGGCTGCCTTGTGCTCAGGGCTTGAGGAGGCAGGGACGGGCTGTGGGGGGAGAGTAGAAGGTCTTTCTCCACAAACTTTGCATTTCAGCAAGCTAGGATTGCTTTTTGTAGAGCAGTCTTGCCGTTGAGATTGCAAAATTTGATGTATAGTTGCCCCGGCGACTTTCAACAAAACCTCCATTGCGCCTCCGAGGCTCCTTTTAGGGTTGAAAGGCACATTTTGGATTTGGGGGGAGAATGTGCATCAAATTTACCTTTGAAAGCAGCTGGTATTCAATTTATAGGTTGCACATAGCTTCAGGTTGCCGTTGGGTTTGAGAAATTTTGGTCATGGGTGCTGCTCCCAGCTCATTTCAGCCATGTCGGCAGCCATGGCGGCCAGTCTGAGGTGCTGGGCAAAATAACAATTTTGGACTTCACCACTTTCGGGCGCTGTCCCTCCTTTCTGCGACCTTTAGGCGGGGATGGACTCAGCCTTCTGTTCAGCAAAGGCAATCGGCGTACCGTCCGATCTTAGAAAATAGAACGATTTCACCGTTGGATGCCCGGACTGCGCCCGGTACGCCAAAAATTACTTAACCAGGCCAGCGGACGGAGGTTCATGCCAGACAGGATCAGTAGGTACCATGAACTGCACTTGAATCTTCCTTGGCAACAGGATTCCTAGCTCGTCAGCTAATTGTAGTTTAGCAGCACGATGGCGGGCGCTAGCTTGTGTTCCTCTCCTCCGGTTCATCTGCCTGGTCGCCATTCAGTTGCCGGCAGTTTGCTGGGCCCCAAAGACTTTGAGGGCCAGATCTTGCACAGGAAGATTGTTCTTGGCGGACGGCAGCATCGCCTGCGGAGAGTGTCGGCGTATTTGGCTGACTCTGTCACTGAAAGCGTCACAGACGTGCTGCGGAGGGTTGGGGTGGACCCCACTGAGAGAAGGTTGAGCCTGGTCCTTGCGATTGGCGCACAGGCTGGCCGCAGAACAGAGGATGGTACGCCTTCGGCACCTGCTGGTGTTCTGTTCAGCGATGCATGCAGCAGGGTGGCCCCCCTAGCGCCTCCTGCATAGGCCTTCCAAGAGGAGGCTGGATACTTACCTGTGTTTGCTTCAGCACTTGATAAGGCTGCAATTTTAAGACTTGGCAGCTTGCAACCAGGTTGGATACATGCTCTTTGCACCCTGCAAAATCTGGGGAGCCCAGGACCGTGTGCGTGCCAGTCTGGTAGCGGCTGGTCTGGACTGCACGTTGGGTCTGGAGCTGAGGGCGCCAGCATTCTTACTCAAGAGAAACAAAGTGGACAGGCCCCAGAATGAGTAGCTGTAGCTGCCACCCAGCTCGTAGGATGCAACTCTGAATGGATCCCATCTTTGCTTGTGTGACAGGATAGAATGCTTGAGCACTGAAAGCACTGACTTCCCTGCCCCTGCAGTGGTGACAGAAGCAGCGAAAGAGGCTTCAAAGTATGTGAATCCACGGCGCTCGGGGGATGCCAGGAACCTGGAGGAAGCGCTGATGGCGAGTGAGTGCCCCTGGATGCTGTGCAACAGCTCAGGATGCTGGCAGGGCACACACGCAGAATTGCTCTCCTGGCTTGGAGGCGGGGTGCAGCATGGCAGAACGCTAGACGTTATCACTTGTGTGGGATCGCCGCTTGATACCCTGTTACCCCTGGTTCTGTTTATCACTTGTTTCGAGATATTCCAATACGAAGTTGTTGGAAACATCTTTCCAATGAATGTACTTGGCACGAGCAGCCTGCGCTGTTGCTGATGCGCTGTGTGGTGTGGTTTGGGCAGCCCCCGACCTGGAGACCATCCCCTACAGGGTGCTGAAGCGGACGGACGACTACGAGATTCGAGATGTGGAGGTACGGCCGGGTCCTTTCTGCCGCCAGCTGCACTTTATTTTTGTTGTATCCTTTTGTGTGAGGACAACCACGTCAAACAATTGGCCCTGTGAAAGACAGCCCTCCAGTCCTTGTTCTCAATCTTCCGTGTTAAAAGATGTGTGATGGAAACGGGTGGGAACACTGGGGCACAGATGACTGGACGTATCTCGTTTGATGCAGTCCTACTTCGTCGCGGAGACCGAGATGGGCAGCCGGCCCTTCGACTTTGCGGGGGCAGGGCCGTCGTTCAACACTTTGGCTGACTATCTGTTCGGAAATGTGAGGAGCCCGCACAGCATAAGCATGCGACCCCGCACACTCCATTCGTGACAACTCCTCTGGAAACGTATGATAGGACGGTGACTCCAGTCACGGCCATCCTTTACAGTGCCTCTACAGTTCCACGGGCGTTGCCAATCGATATGATGCACGCTCTTCTTGGTCAAGTCAACTTCTATTGGTCGATGTTGCCTCCCTTCGAGGGCCTGTGCTAAGGCTGTGGTTGCTTGTTTGCAGAACAGCGCCCGCGCGGGCATGGAAATGACGACGCCCGTGGTGCAGCGGCGTGGCGAGGCCATGGAGATGACGACGCCCGTCATCACTCGCCAGGGCAGCGCGCGCGGCGAGGCAATGGACATGACGACGCCCGTGGTCACCAGCCAGGTCAGGCGCGGCCCTGCTCGCAGTAGAGCCGCGAAGGAGGGGGGCAGGCGCGGCAGGCGGAGCCCTTGTTTTGGAGTTTTTTGTGAATGGTTTGCAACTGACCGTTCAAAAGTCTCTTCTTGAGTTCTTGCGTCACCTCGGCATGAATTTGTAAACGTTGTTGATATTGTGTAATCAGATGGCTAATTTGTGGGAGTTCGTTGGTCGAACCATGACAAGAACGGCTTCCACGAAGGGTGCACGGTTGACCGTGAACCGAGAGCGTTGTTGTGCGCCCGACCCCGCTTCTCGTGTCTGCCTCTGCAGGGTGGCCCTGGCGCTGAGGGTTGGCGGATGTCGTTCGTGCTTCCCCGCAAGAACGTGAGCAAGGGCATCCCCCAGCCCGTCAACGGCGCTGTCCGCATCCGCGAGGTCCCGGCGCGCACGGTGGCCGTCGTGGCCTTCTCCGGCTACGTGAGTGACCAGCAAGTCGAGCAGCGAGAGCGCAAGCTTCGAAACGTTCTTGCGCGGGAACCCGAGTATCGGGTCATCCCAGGGGCCACTCCCGAAGTTGCACAGGTAAGGACGCCCTTGCCGTTTATGAGCACAACACTTTTGCGCACATTGGGAGCAAGTGCAAAGCCTGATTGACATCGAGCCTTTCCAAATACGGGTGGACACGTGAGCCATTAGGGACTTAGAGGCAGTCTAGCCCACTGGTTGTTGCCTGGTGGCATGGCATAAACTCGGCTTGAACAATTGACTTGTTCGAGCTGATGACAGAGGCCTAAATGAACGTAGATTGACTGAATCGCCCCAACCGAAGGTTGACAAAATAAAGCTTCTTGTGTATCTTCCACCTTTGCAGCTTTCTGGTATGTACCTCCTCAATAGATTCTAATTTGGAAGGTCCATTTTTTGCAGTTTAATCCTCCATTCACACTGCCATTTCTAAGGCGAAATGAAGTTGCATTAGAGGTAGAGAGGACCGCACTCTGAGATGACGCCCCCGAAGTCTAATCCCGACGAAGTCGTGTATAAACTTGGAATTCGCAGAGAGTCTGCAACATTTGGCCTTAAAGATAGACCCTTGCTAGATATGTAGATCAACTTCGATTTGAAACTGTACACAATATGTCCGCCCAGTTGTGACGATGTTGAAATTGTACATAATACCTCCGCCCAGTTGAAGATGTATTTTGATATAATTCTTGGATTTAACTGTCAAAGTGTCGCGGCTTTGCGCGTTGGTTAACCTTCTCAGTCAGATTCCTGTATGGGGGTTGCTTCAACCATTTTGCTGTTCCCCCCTTTTCTCTCTTTTGTACCCCAATATACCGATAGCAACACATCATTTGCGATGGCACATACGGGCTCTGACAACACATAAACACCGATCATGTTGCATAACCCACACATGTGTTTATTTCTCCTGATTCATTCGTGTCTCTCATCATGAGGTGTTGTGTTCTAAGCAAACCCTGTATGTCGCATTGCAGCATTGATCCCATTTATTTTCACTTCTGTCATGCAAACCGAATTGTGGCTGTGTCTCTGCGACATACTGCCAGCTCGATGATTATTCTTTCATCGTTGCAAAGGGGAGCTAGTTGAGAGGTGAAAATCGTGTAAAGCTAGGTAGCATGGATCGAGGTAGCATGCAGTACCGGAGGGGCGGTCACTCTCCCCCAGGAGATAGCGTATTTGGAAGGGAGCCGCATCGATTCAAAGGTTCTGGAAATTGGGCCGAGCTATATATTAAACGGTGGTTATAGGTAAAGGGGGTGGGAAAGTGCGCCTCGATTATACCCAAGACACTAAAGAATAAGGCCACCGATATACCATTGGGCCAACGGAGGCATGCCTCCTTCCAGTTTAATAAGCCGACACATTTTATCCTACATTTCCAGCTTGTCCGATGGATTTTAACAGCCATGCATGGAAAACCTAAGTATAACTTGGGAGAAACGGCTCCACGTTTTTCAGCACCTTTGAGGGGGAATCTTGCTAGAAATGCGTCTGTTCCGTTTTACGAATAGGTGTCAAAAAATGGCCCAAGCCGTTATAGAAAAGGGGTGCCCGAAAAAACTGGCGCGGTTTTAGCATAGGGTCCCAAAACAGGACGAGCAGACGCGGCTATATTCCACCTTTTAACTTTATAGGGGAGTGGCCGCCCCTCCGCAGTACCTGATGCAGGCATGGTCTGTAGTCACCTGTCGTTGCTTGCGCGGCAGTTCTTCCCGATCGATAATCCTTTTGCTATTCAGGATAATAGCTCCTAGCGCGCTGGGCAAGTCACATGTCGCGTTTACTCGGGATGCCGATTGACTGTTTGAACGGCATCAATGGTTCAGGAACCGGCGCGTCACACATCGGGCCGGGTGACGCACAGGGTGCGTCACCCTT